TACAGGTTATTATATCAGAGTTATGCGGCATTGCCCATCACTTTGCAAACCCAGCTGAGCAAAGCTTAGCCTCACACAGCAACAGAAGCAGAGCTCCACCAAATCCATTATTAGAAGAAGATCATTTTTAGTTAGCTGATATTCCCACTGTATGCTCTGTACAATGACTCCTGGAAAAGACTTACTTTGTGTTGCTGGCAGTATCCTTGCTGTTTGTGCAGCAAAATATTCTTTGCTTATACCATTGTAGATCCAGCTGCAGCATTACGTTGTAGGTTCCTGGCCAGCTATAGCTAATTTCCTCAAACATGACAGTCAGGTCACTCTGAAAGATGCCCAATAATAGGTGAAAATGAAGAGGTGGATAGAATGATGGATGAATAAATTGTGTCTGAATTATAATGAGCAAATATCTGACCTATTGTGTACAACCTGCCTGTTGATGAGCTGTTGAGAAACTTTATGACGGGCATGGGAAACTCCAGTCCTCTGAGGCCGGTGTCCTGACAACTTAAGATATGTCCCTGACAGACCTGAATCAAATAATTGGATAATTACCAGGACTTTGGAGTGGCCTTATGCTGGAGATACAATTACGGTGTTTTATTCGGATGTGCTAGACCAAGGACACATCTTAAAGCTGCAGGACAGCTGTCCTTGAGGACTGGAGCTGCCCATCCATCCCAGCAATTAAACAGTTTTGTGCTATTGATGTTTATTTAAACATGCAGAGCAAATAACACAGTTTGCAAACTAGTTTCATTTAAAGAAGATCTACTTTTCAAATATCTCCATTGTAGTGTTGATATCTCTATTTTTTTTTTTTTTTACTTATTATAGATCAAATGTCAGTGCTACACGTTATTAGTAATTTTGGATTCATTAACACTGTCCTCTTCAAAAATGGGTATTAAAACTATATAAATACTAATACTGAGGGCTTACCTTATAGGATTTTCAGGGTTTTTTTGTGTGGTTTTTTTTAGGTTGTCATATCAATGTGGGTTTTTTAAAAAGATTTTACTAAAGTTTTATCGATTCATAGGTTTCATCAGTCAATCCTGATAACCCCAAATAATCTTTGGACCAGATCAATGTAAATAGACTATACAGGTGTTTAATAATTCCAAATGTAAATGTGATGTCTTCATTTTAAGGCTACAAAAAGCGAAAGCTATTTCACCTGATGACATACAGCACTTGGCATAGATGTACAGCATATGACATATTACATATTCATAATAATATATTGTATCTGCATCTTATTTTATTATATTGTGTTTTTAGTTATGACACTTATATTCTTACATGCACTTCTTTCTTGTTTTACCCACTTAACTTTCTCCCATCAGTGAGGTATTCTCAAAAAATTAGTAAGGTGATTCTACTGTAACTAAAGGAGGAATCCTATCAGGAAGTGATTTTTCAAATCAGCACATTAATAATGAACTAACTAATCATTAACTAACTATCTAGGATATGTAAGGATTTTGGTGGTCATATAATAACTTTGGTGTGCTCAGGCAAAAAGAGGCATTTGCAGGTGACAATTATTTATCCAAAAACAGGTAATTTACACAGAATTAACATTTTCAACCTGCAGGTCAACAGGAAAAGGAAATGGAAAAAGATGACAGTCATTAGTGTTTGGGAAAATTGTTTTTCAGTGAAACCAGGTACTTTTTAACCACTGGGATTAATTCAGAGACACTTTGAAGTTCCTCCACAGCATATACAATGGTAATGCATACTATTTGTTGTGCAAAAAAAAAAAATATTTAAAGCGTAGCTCTAAGACCATTTTAGTTTCTTTTATTTTAATGCACCTTTTTCACATGCATAAAGAAAATAGTCAAAGCTTTTTTGTGCTGCCAGTTCTCCAGGCAATCATTTAAAACAAATGACCTGTAGCCACTTTTTTAAGTAATATGACTGCTGGCACCTTATATAGAGTTTTAAATTGCTTTGTGTTTACTCCCCTGTGTTTCCTCAGGTTAACTTAGTTTGGTATTAACATCATAGGCCGGGCCCTGGCATAATCTTTCAGTACTGGATCATATCAAGTTATGGGAGATAATTTTTGGGGGGATATACTTTTTTTTTTCTTTTTTCATTTTTTTTTTTTCTCTGCATCTTCTCCTATACCAGCCTGGAGCTCAGCCTGTTCACTGAGAATAGTGAGACTTGGCTTTCACTCAAACCAGTCAGATAACTGTAAGCCAAGAATTTCACAGTTGTCAAATAAGGTTCCCTCCTCTCTGGTTTTCAGCTGTCACTTCACTTCATGTCACGTTGCTCCAGTCATATGTCTTGCATCACTTCTTATCACTCTTTAAAAATTCCTCCTCAGTCAATCACCAGCGTAAGTCCAACTGTCTGTTCTCTGCATTCATGTTCATGCCGCAATACCACCCTGAATATGATAACGTCTCACATACATTTTGATATATGAGGGGCATCTGCCACTGGCCTGCACATTGCAGCCTTTTCTCCTTTCTGTAGATACTGAATTATTAACAGATTGCAGATTTTTTTTTTCACATTTTGTTTTTTATTTTTAGAGCAAGAATTGTAGACTCACATTCTTTTGCTTAAGTACAACTTTGTAGCGAATGTATGAGTGATTTACATGTTTTCCATGACGGTGATGCGAAAGACAAGCTTGTAGGGCATTTTTATTTAGTATTTGGATAGAAGCAGCATCACAGGTAAAAGTGTGATGGATGCACAGAGAGAGTAAAGTAAAATTTGCACAAGTTGAAAGGTCAGAGGTTTCTCATCAACTCCTTAGAATAATATCCAACATTATTTATTTTGTATGAAATGCAGGCAATAAAAAAAGAAGCACTTGTCAGTACTCCTGACAGTTCTCATTAAATCATATCTACAATTATTTGTTCGCTATTCAATTTGGGTTTTTTCTTCCTATTCCACTGTTCTTTTGATAAGTTTCTAATGAAGCAAAGCTTAATGTTCTGTAACATCGCATCCTATTGCTAGTGAAGCTTATTAGATATACAACCCAGGTTGTTTGTGTGTATTTGTGAGTAAAACAAACACTGGATCTTATAGCAAAGTTTGTAGAAGAGTCCAGTTTCATTGTGTATTTTATTCTTGTCTTATTTAAGGCATTCAAAATGGTCCCATTCTTTTTTAATAAATAGTTCTCAAACTGTTTTGCTTGTTGTTTTCAAAAGCATGTTTATTGTAGAGTAATCCATACATGTTTTAGTATTTTAGATATTTTAGAATACCGGCTGTCCAGCCTACTTGAAAACATGTTTAGGTTAAAGAGAAATTCTGCAGTATCCACCTGTCCTCAAGATACCTCTCTGAGGTTTGTTTGACAACCTCGTTCCAATCCTTTTATGTTTTATTCAATGTTCTTTAAGCCAGTTGCAACTAATGCTCACAAATACCTAACATTAGTGCCATAAAACATAAAAAAACAAAATTTTAGTGTCTCTAGTAGTTTTTAATTGTACATATAAATGCCTGTATGTGCTCTTCATCTCTGACAGCTTGCCGTTTTTTAAACTAATAACCAAAATATAGCAAAATAATTTAAATTATGCAAAGGACTCCTTCAATGCCTTTAATTGGTCTCCAGGGTTGTAGAGACCAGCAGGTCTTAGAAGTTGACCGATTACCTGGTCAACTCAACAACCGCTTCCTTCCTTCTTTAAAAATTAGAGCCTCGAACATAGAAATAGAGTTTCAGTTTTAAGACCAGCATCTTAATTCCCAAGGCTCATATTAGTGTATTTACTCATTCAGATATAATGACACCACCTGACAAGCGCTGTAGAGAAAAGTCTTTATGTTTGTTAGAAATACTGTAGCGTGTTAATATTACAAGATCTTTTGCTAAGAGTTTCTCAACCCTGGTTTTCAGGACACACAGTCCTGCATCTTTTAAGTTTCCCCTCTGCCCCTACACTGTGAGCATTCTAAAGGAATAATGAACATCCTTCTGCAGACTTGCTAGCATACTGAAGAGGTAATGCAATCATTGGAATCATGTTTGCTGCAACAGAGACACATCTAAAACATAAGGGACTGTGACACTTAGGGACCAGGACCACTGTATCACAGTATTAATGTCTTGTATATTACAACAGGAATTATTAAACATAGCTGGATTCAGAAATAATCTCCTTCCCATGGCAAAGTCCTGTCCGATCAGCCATTCACCCAAGGACACCCATCCCTGCCAAAAGTATATTGACATGCATTACTAAATCCTCAGCCATGTTTGCCAAAGTAGCTTAAAATTCACTGTCCTTCTGAGGTCAAACAAGATCAAACTCTAGTATTACACAAAGGAGTGCTCTGGCTGGTATGTGGACAAGTTATTATAAATAAAGGAAAAAAACACACCCAAACAAAAATTAGACAAATAAAAAAAAGTGAGTAGCGCCTTTTTATTATTAATATAATTTGTGTAGTCAAAAAAATTTTGAAACATAATTTGTTCCTAATTTGGTTTAGTCTTAGTCTTTCCTTTTCCAGTAATAACCTAGCTCAAAGACCAGTCACATTATGTATCTAACCATCCTCTCTGTGTGGTATATACAGTGAATTTATACATTACTGTCTATATAAATGTCTTTCTGAAATGTTTCCTTCTGGTTAACATATATTTTTGTAAAAGGTTTGCCCTTGTCCTTAAGTAAAAAAGCTGTAAAACAACATAATATTTTCCCTTAAGTGGAAGATTTCCAAAGATTGACTGCCTGTCAAAGTAGCTTATAAAGTGACAGGAGCTCAACTACATCCTTGTAAAAAAAAAAGTCGCAATTTGATTTTTGCCGTTTATGTGGTGCCCAAGCATGAACTAAGAGATGCTCTGGTTTACAGCCCATAGCCCTCTTCGGTTCTTTATTCTTAACACTACGGACAGTTTAGTGAAGGAATCCGACTGCTTTCATGAGCCGTCTCTTACTGTTTTGGAGTATGCTTTAAATCTAAGACACTCAATCCTTCTCCTGCTCTTTCAGGATCTGACATGGTGGAGGCCCAGTGTCAGAGGTTTGAAGTGAAGAGTGCTGATGGTGAGAGAGTTCTGTTTTCTGCAGATGAGGAGGAGGTCAGCATTGGTACTGAGAAACTTAAAGTCACAGGTAACATATTCAATGATCTGTTTAATGTGTGACAAACTCTTACTGTAACAGTGGCTTTTTATTTAGAGACAACTGCCCTGCAAGATTTAGATGCGACCACAGCTGGATAGAGTACCACAAAATGTCACCTATGTAAGAGTAGCACTAATTTGACATTTGTTTAATCAACTAAATGTGACCCAGTCGTGATGGAAAGACAGGACACAGAAAACTCTCTTTGTGGGTTTGTTTTATTTCCCGACTGTGCCCAGTAGAACACAGTATTAATTTGTTTTGTTGTGAATTTTAAAAGTTGGAATGAACAATAAAAATACAAAATAAGGATCTCAATATTAGTAAGAGACAGGTGCACTTGCACACTATACAGGACAGTAAAAAAATGCAAACGTTGCTAGTATAGACAACAGTAGTGACCTGTCCTAAACAGACAGAAAACAGAGCAAAATTCAAGTAAATACATGGCTACAGGTAATATCACAGTCACAAATTTGTCTCATTAAAGTGCATTTGCTTCCTAATAAACATACATTCATGAATTCAATGATTTGTAAATATTTTTAGAACTTCAAGTAACGTGAAGAAATAATTAACTCACTTTTCCAGAGGGCGGCCTGCTCACCAACACACACCCTCACAAGTTGTGACACCGCAAATTCTCTCCCCTCTGGGTCACCCAGAAACAAAGAAAGTTGTACAAAATATATGAAAAACAAATATTAAACAAACTTTGAATTCCGTCAGAACAGTCACAACTTACGCCAACCCGCGCCTTCCGCTCGCAGCGTGGTCGGCTCTTTTAAACAGACAGGCGTTGCACGTTTCAGCAATCTACAGAAATCATCACGAATACAAAGCCATCACGCATTAAACTTGGCTTGCTAGACTACTAAACACTTTGTGACACACAGGTATAGCAGATTGGATGTATTTTAGAGTATTTACCTTGAGTTTTAACCACCATGTATGTCTGCAGTCTGTTAACTTTCCAGACTCCCGCTCGACAGAATGCAGAGTCTACGTGCATGCATGCTCTAAGATGGCGCTGCTCTTAAAGAGGCAGCGTCCCCAAAAACCCCAAATGCAGTAACCACAATATTACAGTAAGAAAGAGAATAAAGGCAACACAAATCTTACATGAACTGAAAGCTCTTAGGAATAAGCTGTGTCACACTGATAGCGATTATTTATTCACTTGGTTACATTCTCCCCTGCTACAAGTCATCGTCCTCGATGACTTCCTGATCAACCATTTGTCCCCTAAATTTGTTGGTGTAGAGAACCATACCAGCTAGCAGATGGGAGAGTACATCTGGGCTGAAGGACACTGCGTTACATGCTGACCTGGGTAGGTTAAATGGGTTCGAGTGTACCCCTGCCATTTCTCTCCTACTCCTACGTGGTGCAGGTGTGGGCTGGCCTGCTTTAGCTCTCCCAGTTTCCCTTTTTCTTGGAATTGGAGCAGGCCTTGCCTGTGAGGTTTCATAAGGCAAGCTGATGTTTTCTGATGCAGGTGAGTGGCAAATGTTTGGTTCTTCCTCTCGGTCCTCCTCAATAAAATCCCCATTTTCCTCCAGCCTTACCAGATCCTCACGCTCCAGGTGTTCAGCTCTGTTGTCCAAGTCATCTCCTGGCCCTCTAACCATCACATCCAGGTTTTCAGGTTCATCATTCACTGGATGTTTTACTGGGTACTGAACCTCTTCCATCAAGATGAATTCTGGATGTTCAACCTCAGTCCCTGGCTCTTCATGTTCATCCGCAGTGACGACCTCTTGGTCATGTTGCCTTGGCTTCCGTACTGGTGTGGGCCCCACACACGGCCTTAAGTTTGATCTGTGCACCCTTCTCAATGACCCTCCTTCCAGAGGAGCTACGGTGTATGTTGTCCCCTGGATATCAACCACTTTGTACACGGTTGATGCCCAGGCATCTTGAATTTTATTTCTTCCTGGTGGTCGGTAGCGGAGGTACACTAACTGTCCAATATCAACCGGTGGGCAAAACACTTTTCCTTGTTGCTGAATGACTCTCTCTGCAGCCTTTCGTTCCGCATATTCTCTGGCCCTGGCATGTGCGTCCTGGAGACGCTCCTGGTGCACCGCTAACCAGTCCAGTTTGTCATCCTTCACTGGCTCCTGGCCTAACAATGCATCAACTGGCAAGTGTGGGTGGACACCAAACAGTAAGTAATAGGGCGAATACCCTGTGGTTGAATGTGGCGTAACATTGTAAGCATACACCAGCTCTGACAGATGTTCGGGCCAACGCCGCTTCTTTTCAGGGGGAAGCGTACGGAGAAGGTTGTGTAACGTCCTGTTGAATCTCTCACATTGAGGATTACCCTGAGGGTGGTGCGGTGTTGTCCGGGTCTTTTTCACCCCATACAGTTTGCATAGCTCAGCAATCACTGCACTTTCAAAATTTCTGCCCTGGTCTGAGTGCAGACGTTCTGGTACCCCATATTTCATGAACCACTCTTTCAGTATGATTTTGGCTGTAGTATCTGCCTTTTGATCTCGTGTGGCAAAAACCTGACTGAACTTTGTGAACACATCAGTTATTACAAGAGCGTTTTCACGTCCATCTGTGGCACGTTCAAGTGTGGTGTAGTCAACAGCGACAACTTCCAGTGGGCGAGTAGCCAAGAAGGGAGTTTGGGGTGCCTGAACTCGGGGGTGTGGCATTTTTGTTAACACGCACCTCTGACATTTCTTCACCCATTGCTCCACATCTTCATACATTCCTCCCCAGAAACATCTCTGCCTCAATAAACTCATTGTCCGCTCAATTCCCTGGTGCCCCATTTGATCATGCACACTTTTGAGCACTTGTTCTTTGAGACAAGCTGGTAATAGCAGCTGATAACACAGCCCAAGATGAGCATCCCCAATCACACGGTACAGAAGTCCATCCTTTTCTCTAATACGGGCCCACTGTTTCAACAGGGACCGCACAGGTTTAGGTAGACCCATTTTCTGTGGGTAACCAGGTTTCTTCTGTCTCCGCAAGAAATCTCCGAAGACACTTAGTGTCTGATCTGATGCCTGGAAGTGCTGAAGCTCTGCGTTAGAATAACCAGGCATGGTTGGGGTGCTGTCCTGCACAGTCTCACCAACCGCTTCCTCGTTTGCTTCTGATACATGCAGCAGCCTGACTTCACAAGCTTTGACTCCAGCTGCAACTAAATCTAGGTCTAAATCAGTACCTGCCCTGAACATGTTACATATGGCTATGCAGCCATCATATTCTGCATCCTCGCTGTCGGGTTCTGGCTCATCACCTGATGGCTGCCTGGAAAGGGCATCAGCGGCAGTATTGCAACGACCAGGGCGATACTTGATTTCAAAGTCGAATACAGACAGCTGTGCAACCCATCTCTGCTGAATGGCTCCTAGATTAGCTGTGGACAGGTGGCAGAGGGGGTTGTTATCTGTTATGATTGTGAACTTAGAACCCAGAAGATAGCTCCTAAACTTTTCTGTAACTGCCCACTTTAATGCTAACAGTTCAAGCTTCATGCTGCTGTAGTTCTGATCGTTCTTTTCAGCCCCTCTGAGTCTCCTACTGGCATAAGCTATAACTTTCCTTTTCCCTCCTTGTATCTGATAAAGGACAGCACCTAATCCTAGACTGCTAGCATCTGTCTCAAGTGTGAAGGGAAGGCTAAAGTCAGCGTAGCCTAGCGTGGGGGTACTGGTTAACTTTTCCTTGAGTAGCTCGAAAGCTTGTAAACACTGTGGTGTCCAGGCCGAAATAAAAAGCTGTTTAGCCCTGTACTGACTGCTCTCTTTAATACATACATTCACAACATCATGAAGTGGCCCTGCGATTTGGGAGAAACCCTCAATAAATCTCCTGTAGTAACTACAAAATCCTAAAAAGGACCTCAGCTCTTTCACAGTACTAGGGATGGGCCACTTAGTCACCGCACTTATTTTGTCAGGATCCGCACTAATGCCCTGGGCTGAGACTTCATGACCCAGAAACCTGACTTTAGGCTGGAGGAAGTGGCATTTCTCAACTTTTACCTTAAGCCCAGTCTCCCTTAGTCTTTTCAGGACAGTCTCTAGTCTCACCAGATGATCTTGGAATGTTGCTGAGAACACGAGCAGATCATCCAAATAGATCAACACCATTTGGAAGACCAAGTCACTCATCGTGGCCTGCATGAGACGTTGAAACGTTGCCGGGGCGTTGCATAACCCGAAAGGCATTCTCAAATACTCATACAAGCCAAATGGTGTGGTAAATGCTGTCTTGTCTCTGTCTTTCTCATGCACTGCCACCTGGTGGTAGCCACTTGCAAGATCAATGCTTGAGAAGAACTCTGCACCACTCAGAGCATCCAGGCTTTCCTCAATGCGGGGAAGTGGGAATGCATCGCGTCTGGTCTTTGCATTTAGCCTGCGGTAGTCCACACAGAGTCTAAGGCTTCCATCTGACTTTCGAACCAAAACGACTGGTGAAGCATAAGAGCTTGAGCTCTCTTGAATTACTCCTTTTCGCAGCAGCTCAGAAATGTGTTCCCTGACCTCTTTGTATTGATTAGGTGGAATGCGCCTGTATGGCTGAGAAACGGGTGTCTCATCTGAAACCGGGATTTCATGTTTCACACGATCTGTGTACCCCAAATCTTCGTCGCGAAGTGCAAAGACATCTGCATAGTTTCCCAGGAGAACCTTTACTTCTGCCTGTTCTTCTGGTGTACCTCCAATGTGTAATCGGCTGAGCAAGTCCTGTATGTCACTGTCTGTTTCCTGACAATCCTTCTGATTGATGCTCACCTCCTCATGGTCAGCAGAAATGCGCTCAAACTTCACTTCATATGGGTCACCATCCATGCACTGGCCCTGACTGAGGGTTCCTATTCTAGCCTTAGGTGGCAGCCATAAATCCTCCTGGGAAAGGTTGATTACCTGGACTGGAAACAATAGGCTGTTAGTTGATACTAAGGTTGGGATCACAACTAACCCACCTGGCAGTGGAACGTTTCCTTGTTCGAACAACATGCTCTCAAACTGTTTACTGTGACCCCTAACATAGACAGTGGTACCTGATGAGGCGGGAACTCGCACTTTGTTTTTACTGGCGACACGGGCGACAGATATCTTTTCCACCAGCTCAGCTTCCTGTACATGGTGGCAGGCCTCCCTCCAGTTGGAATCCAGTTCCCACCTAGAGCGGTGTCAAACTCGGAGAGAACTAACTGTCTACACCGCTTTGCAATGTTCATCCCTATTATGCCAGGCAGGGATGAATCTGTCTCTCTGGCGTTGACCTTTTTTGTTCCATCATCTCTGATTATTAGGAAACCACACTCTGGAACAGTAAGTCCCATCACCTGTACGTCTAGTTCTACGTAACCCAAGTAGGGCAGTGGCAACTTGTTGGCTGCTGTTATTTTTAGCCACTTGGCAGTACAGTGCATATCTTCATCTTCTCCATGTAGATGATTCCTAAAGAAACTTTCGGTCAAAGTGCTTACATTACTTCCCGTGTCAAGCAAGCATCTGAGGGGAACACCTCCGATCTGGATATCCACCTCAGGGCACTGTCCTACAGCATGCTCCAGAAAGTGTTCTTTGGTCAGAGTTTCTTTTGAGCCTTCTGACTTGCCTCGCATTGCCAGGCTCAGAGCAATGGGGGGCTCCCGTTTTCCTGTACCGCAGAACCAGGCATGCCTGGAGACTGATTGGTAGGCTTACGTTGTGTGTTGCAGTATCTGGCCATATGTCCCACCCCCTCACATTGCAGACAAATCGGCTGACCGTCTCTGGTGTATTTGGGTTTAGGTTTAGTCCTAGCACTCCTACTGTCTTCAGAACTGGTAGCCTGTGTAGTGAGCTCTCGAACTGCATTGGTTAATTCTCCTATTGCTTGTTGTGCGATTATTTTAACCACCTCTTGTAGAGTAAAAGCCAGACCTGTCTGTGAATTTATTGTGGAGTCGGTCTTTTCTAAGTTGTCATTTGGTCTGTTACCTACTATATTTCTATTTCTAGCCACATTAGCACTGCGTGGACGGTCCTCCATAGTCCACATTAATGCCTCTTCTCTAACATCAAAGAGATTACAATCAGGTTTCTCTCTAATAAGTCTGCGTAGTTCGCGCCGAAGAGTGGAGCCACGCACGCCTTCAATGAACTGATCGCGGAGTGTTAGCTGCGTGTCGGGTACTACACCAGGAGACTGCTGTAGTGCAGAGTTTAGCAGCTGAGACAGGGCATGTGAATAATCCCGCAGGTCTTCCCCATCTAGTTGCCGACGGGCGTAGAAAGCATGTAAGAGCTGTGGAGTGGTGCGTTTCTCCCTAAATGCCTCCCTCAAGTATGAAAAGAGATCACGGGGTTGTCTCGCTTGCCCACCCATACGCAACTTAACTTCCTCTAAGGCAGAGCCCTTTAGCTGTGAGAGAATGAAATCAGTTTGATCCTCCCCATGCAAACCCCTAGTTCTCATTGCTCTTTCCACCTCATCTATAAACTCATCAACAGTGTAAGCATCTTTTCCCGCTTCTCCACAGAAAGGTACAATTGCCTTTTCTCTTGGGATGTAAACAACAGATCTGGTTTGAACATTACACATATTAGAAATACTTGACATAGCAGCATCATGTTTTCTACTTAGTTCGAGAATCTGTGTTTGCAGCTGCACAAAAGGGTTACCTCCACTGTCAAGCGAAGGGGCAGCTTGGCTGTCTTCATCTGAGCCTCGTCCAGCCCCTGAAGGGCCTGCTCCCTCGTCCTCTTGCGACATGTCTCTGAGTTCTTTCTACCGCGGGATCACGCAGTCACTTTGTGTTGAGATGCAACAGTTCAAATGTCTCTGTCCTGCTTTCTCTCTTCCTTGGACCGCCGATGTAGACTTCCTCCTCGTCCTGTTGCACTAGCCGCCACAGCACACGACCACCTCAGGACCCTCGCACCGCAGTCGTCTCCATCCCGGACCAGGACTGGAATCTTCCCAGCCACTACTGTTGTCTATAAAGCTCTGCTCACTGTCTCTCTATAAAACTTAAAACTCAAAACTAAACGGGAAATCCCACTTCTGACACCAAAATGTGACCCAGTCGTGATGGAAAGACAGGACACAGAAAACTCTCTTTGTGGGTTTGTTTTATTTCCCGACTGTGCCCAGTAGAACACAGTATTAATTTGTTTTGTTGTGAATTTTAACAGTTGGAATGAACAATAAAAATACAAAATAAGGATCTCAATATTAGTAAGAGACAGGTGCACTTGCACACTATACAGGACAGTAAAAAAATGCAAACGTTGCTAGTATAGACAACAGTAGTGACCTGTCCTAAACAGACAGAAAACAGAGCAAAATTCAAGTAAATACATGGCTACAGGTAATATCACAGTCACAAATTTGTCTCATTAAAGTGCATTTGCTTCCTAATAAACATACATTCATGAATTAAATGATTTGTAAATATTTTTAGAACTTCAAGTAACGTGAAGAAATAATTAACTCACTTTTCCAGAGGGCGGCCTGCTCACCAACACACACCCTCACAAGTTGTGACACCGCAAATTCTCTCCCCTCTGGGTCACCCAGAAACAAAGAAAGTTGTACAAAATATATGAAAAACAAATATTAAACAAACTTTGAATTCCGTCAGAACAGTCACAACTTACGCCAACCCGCGCCTTCCGCTCGCAGCGTGGTCGGCTCTTTTAAACAGACAGGCGTTGCACGTTTCAGCAATCTACAGAAATCATCATGAATACAAAGCCATCACGCATTAAACTTGGCTTGCTAGACTACTAAACACTTTGTGACACACAGGTATAGCAGATTGGATGTATTTTAGAGTATTTACCTTGAGTTTTAACTAGGGCTGCAACTAACGATTATTTTGAAAATCGATGAATCGGCCGATTATTTTTTCGATTAATCGATGAATCGGACACAAAATATTTTTTTTTATATTAACCTCTTTATTCCAAAATAAACATTTTAGACAGAACAAACAAGCACACAAGTACAGGTTTCTCATTAACTGTACTGGTGCAATATGAAAAATAAATGTTTGTTTTAAAACTACGCAAACTTACATGAGAAATGTAGCTGTACATCCACAAAATATAGGGTACTTTGTTTCATAAAGCGCAAAAAGAGACAGGCATTTTTGTTTTTTAAAGCCCCTAAGGGGTTCAACAATAGGCCCCCCCATTTCAACAAATGAGGTTTTTTTAGACTAGAAGAGTTCTGCCTTTTAAGACAGGAAAGTATAGCAGTTAAAGTTGCTACTTGAGAAAATACTGAACCATAGAGATAAAAATAGCCCTGTGATTCAAATTATAAACTGTATTTGGAATAAAAATGAGAGAACTAGGGGTGCTAAAAAACACATCCTCCAAAGACAGATATTTACATGGGAATGTGGCATATACTTAATTGACATATTACTGATCTTGCTGGATTTTATTCTGCTTTACTTCCATAAATTGCAGGATCTTCTTTACTTTATCTTTGCCAGAAGATTTAAACTTTAAAAGCCTTGCCCTCATAATTTGCAAATTAATTTATTTATAAAGAAAATATAAACGCTGCTTAAGCTAATTCAAATGAAATTAAAAGTAAAATAAGTAGCCAACCTTATCACTGTCTGTAACCTACTAACACGGTAAGGAAAGCATCAGATGAGCTACCTGAGAAACTAACTTACGTTTCCCCACTTTAAAATGAAACAAACATGGTTACTCATCCTGCTGATCAGCTATCTTCACTGCCATTGAAGGCTCCAACATGTTTTCTTTTCAGGTGCTGCGTCATAACAGTGGTGCTTCCGTGCCATGTTTATTTGTTTTTACAAAAGTCGCGTGTTACGACTTTTTTCACTTTACAAAGCGCAGGCTATTTTAATTATTGTGATCAATTTGCGCCGTCAATCCCGGGGCATGCGCGCTTCATTTGCAGTCTGGACGCTGAGGTTAAACTCCTCACTAAAGTCCTGCGGCTCGGACTGCAGCGCTGAGAGGGATTCTTGTGGGAGAGGGAGAAAGGCATTGGGATGGGGGAGGCGCCCCACGGCAGCAGCTGCCGCTGGAGGACAAGAGTAGGAACGATACATGCTTTCACGTAAGAGTCTCCAAAAGCCGCCATTGACACCGTAAAAAGTCGCCAGATTTGTCGCTAGTCGCTTTTTAAAAAAAATAGTCGCTGGAGGGGTCTGAAAAGTCGCTGAGTTGGCAACACTGGAACTGCGGCGCTGACTCGCTCCGCCATATTTTTTTTTCTTCCCCGGGATGACGGCGGCGGCGGATGACGCATTAATCGCGCGACACAACTAATCGATGATTAAATTCGTTGCCAACGCTTTTAAAAGTCGATTTTTATCGATTTTATCGATTCATTGTTGCAGCCCTAGTTTTAACCACCATGTATGTCTGCAGTCTGTTAACCTTCCAGACTCCCGCTCGACAGAATGCAGAGTCTACGTGCATGCATGCTCTAAGATGGCGCTGCTCTTAAAGAGGCAGCGTCCCCAAAAACCCCAAATGCAGTAACCACAATATTACAGTAAGAAATAGAATAAAGGCAACACAAATCTTACATGAACTGAAAGCTCTTAGGAATAAGCTGTGTCACACTGATAGCGATTATTTATTCACTTGGTTACATAAAGGTCTATTAAAAGTTTAAAAAAAAGTACCTGGTAAAATGGCAACAGAAGTATTAAGTTACTGTCAGCTCATAACATTTGATCCAATGTTTCAAATGATGTGGGACTAATCAAAACAGATAATCTGCATATTCTGGTATTTGAATACATAAAATATATCAGTAGTAATAACATTAATACAAAAATAACACATTTGTGTAGAATAAAAACTTACCCACATCATATTTTTCATCATAAATGTCTAAAATTAATCTTTACAGCATTTAAAGGTTAAATAACTTCCGGCGACAATATCTTTCATTCACTGGATATAACCCTGTTGTAGCACTCTCAAATAAAATTAATGCATCATGTACTGGCCTCGTAGAACCCAGCTCTACTATCCAGGAGTTAAACACCTCCACAAAATAAGTCACCGACGCCAGGATGGGTTTAGACTGTTCTTTATATGGCAGGTGTGAAACTGTAATGAAACAATACAGTATACATGAGTGGAAATGAAAAGAAATACAGCAACCATGCTTTAAATGCTAATACTAACCACATGTATCAACATGAATAACAGAACTAGCTTAAAAACGGCTCCCTTTTATCTTCAAAAACGTGCTTTTAAACAATCTTATTAATCAGAATCCTTAACTTAATCCTTAATCACAAATGTATTGCATACTCACAGGGAATGCCTTTCATGAACTCAAAAATCACAGAAACACGTCAGCCATCAGAGAATTCTCTGCTCTTCTGCTTGCTACTGCACATAACTGATAGAAGTGATGTCATATCCTGTTCAAACCGCAAAGTCAGCCTTCAAAATAAAGCGCATGACACATGTCAGAACACTCCCCGCCTGGTATCCTGGGAATACCACAAACTCTAACTTAAACATCACTAGATAACAAAAGAACCATCTCCGAAATTGGTCTAAGATAACACTTAACAGTCCCTTGAGAGGCAACTTTGACCTCTGCCTTCCTTATGATCCCATCTTCACTAGGGAAAGTTTTAACAATGACACCCATTGGCCACTCATTTCTTCTTGTCTGTCTGTCCTTGAGGAGTACAACATCCCCTTGTTTGATATCCATCTTCTTGTGGTGCCACTTTTGACGAGTTTGCAGTGTGCTGAGATACTCTTTGCGCCACCTGCTCCAGAATGTGTCTGCAAGAAACTGAACACGCTTCCAATGGCTTTTGAGCATTTCTTTGGGGTCGACATTGTTACAGATGGGGGGTACAGATTGTGTTTTTTGAGTCAACAACATTGCAGGTGAGAGAATGTGGGGATGCTCTGGGTCTGATGAGACTGGCACCAAAGGACGTGCATTTATTATGGCTGTGACTTCTGCAAGAAAAGTGGTTAAGATTTCATGGGTGAGTCGAACACGACCAGCTTGCAGCAGCATGTTATCCAATATGCGCCGTGCCAACCCAATCATCCTTTCCCATACTCCCCCCATGTGTGAAGAATGAGGAGGGTTGAAGATCCAGGTACACTTCTGATCCTGCAGAAACCTTTGTACTTTGACCGTTTCTTGGGTTTTTGTGGACATCTCCTTGTAGGCTCCGATGAAGTTTGTGCCACAATCTGAGCGCAGCTGTTTTGCAGGACCACGCAGAGCAAAGAAGCGCCTCAATGCATTGATGAAACTTGATGAGCTCATCTCCTCCACAACTTCAATGTGGACTGCCCTTGTGCACAAACATGTGAATAGTACTGCCCAGCGTTTACTGTTTGCTTGTCCTCCTCTTGTACGTCTTGAAGTGACCTCCCATGGGCCAAACATGTCCATACCCACATATGAAAATGGAGGAGCCACTTGGAGTCTGTCCAGAGGTAACTCGCTCATAAGTTGCTCTTCCATCTTCCCTCTCAGTTTTTTACAAGTCACACATTTGCTTATGACTTTTCCAATGCATCCCTTCACTCCTACAATCCACAGGCCATTTTCTCGGACCGCACCCTCTGTAAAATGCCTTCCCTGATGGTTTACCTTTTCATGGTAGTGTTCCACAATCAGGGTTGTGATATAGTTACTTCCTGGTAGAATTATGGGATTTGTTTCTTTTACTCCCAGCCCTGCACGACTAATGCGACCACCAACTCTCAACAACTTGTCTTCTCCAATGAAGGGGTTAAGCTTAGTGAGTGGGCTGTTTGTAGGAAGGTTCTGCCTTGTATTGATGCATCGCATTTCCTCTGCATATGCTTCGGACTGCACATTTCTGATGATTAGAGTCTCTGCTTGTTCTAACAGTTCTGGGGTGATGGCTGTTCTACACATGTGCCACCCTGTGCAGTTTGGGTCTGTTTTTGTCTGAGAGTAGCATTGTGCAACATGGATGAGGCGTGACATGGTTTTATTTAATGAGCGCCAAGTGGAAAACCGCTTCCAACGCATTGTGCCAAGGGTGCCCTTAGAAACGTTAGTGCAAAGTATCTTTACCTCTGGGCGTACTTCTACATCGTTGTCTGGATCGAGAAGTTCAAATCCATGTTGCTCTGGCTGGTTATCCGAATGCTGAAGGAAGGCTGGACCTCTGAACCACGATGTGTTCAGCAACTCTGCAGCAGGGACAGATCGTGAGCCGTGATCAGCAGGGTTCTGGTCTGTAGTAACGAAATGCCATTGCTCTGGAGTAGTTGATTCTCTAATGCGGCACACACGGTTGTTCACATACACATAAAAGCGCCTGGACTGGTTATGAATATAACCCAGGACCACTTTGCTGTCTGTATAGAAACTAGTTTTGTCAATGGGATGATCAATCTCTTCCTTTATGATCTCTGCCATTTCAACCGCCATTACTGCGGCACAAAGTTCAAGTCTAGGAACTGTGAGCTCTGGCCGTGGAGCAAGTCGTGCCTTACCTAGGATGAAACCAACCTCTGTTGTGCCATCATGAGCGGTGACTCTTAAGTATGAGACTGCACATATTGCCTTCATGGATGCGTCTGAGAAGATACAAAGCTCCACACATTTCGCTTGAGACAGAGACTTTTTAGTGTATGTGCGTGGGACATGAACTTCGCTAAGGCACTGAAGGGACAGTTTCCACTTTATCCATTGGCCTTTTAGGTCCTCAGGAAGAGGTGCGTCCCACTCTGTCGTCTGAAGAGATAATTCTCTGAGAAGAAGTCGTCCTTGAATGATGATTGGGGACAAAAACCCTAGTGGGTCAAACACGCTGTTCACAGTAGATAAGACCCCCTTTCGTGTGTAGGGCTTATCGGTGTGTGGGATGTGGAAAGTGAAATAGTCCTCCATAATATTCCACTTAACTCCCAGGCTGCGTTGATCTGGAAGGTCATCCTTGAACAGATCCAGACCCTGAAGATCCTTGGCTCTGTCTTGAACTGAGAAGGCTTCCATCACCTCAACTTTGTTTGATGCTATTTTAAGAAGGTGGAGGTTAGAGTCTGCCAGCATCTGTTGTGTTCGTTTGAGCAGGTCAATTGCATCATCCACAGTCAGGACAGATTTTAAAGCATCGTCCACATAAAAGTCACGTTCGATGAAGTGGCGGACGTCTGACCCGTATTTTGCCTCTCCTTGTTGAGCAGCTCTCCTCAGTCCATATGTAGCTACTGCAGGTGAGGGGCTGTTGCCAAACACATGGACACGCATTCTATAGTCTACAAGCTCTTTCTGTGTGTCATTGTCCTTGTACCAGACAAATCTCAGTACATCTCTGCAGTCTTCACGTACCAAGAAACAATAAAACATGTGTTGGATGTCTGCAGTGACTGCTACTGGATGTTTCCTGAATCTGAGCAGTACTCCCAATAAAGTGTTGTTTAGATTTGGTCCTGACAATAACACTGTATTAAGTGACGTTCCTTCAAACTGCGCACTGGAGTCAAAAACCACTCTTATCTGTGATGGTTTTTGTGGGTGGTATACTCCAAAGTAAGGCAAGTACCAGTACTCCTTGTCTTCTTGTACTGGGGGTGCCAGCTCTGCATGTCCATTGTCCATCATTTTCTGCATAAAGTCTATCAGATGAGCTTTCATTTCAGGGTTTTTGTTTAGAGTTCGTTCCAGCGACTTGAACCGACTGACTGCATATTGCCGGTTGTTAGGGAGCAGTGCCCTTGGTTGGCGAAATGGCAATGGAGCCACGCAGCTTTGTGTTTCGTCCTGTACACATTCATCTTTCATTAGTTTTAAGAATAAAAGATCTTCCATTGAAGGTGCAACCTTGTTATCATTTGTGGTTTGACAAAACACATTTTTTCCAATACTTTCATGGTGTGTGTGGCCCTTTAAGTTGGGGCTACTGGTCTCTGACTTTACTGTAAAGTGATTTTCACAAGGTTGAAAATGAGTTGGCCTTCCATTTGTCAGAATGTGGGTTTTGAGAGTACTGACTTGTGAAGGCCTGTGCGTACTGCCCAGGCATACATCTCCAACTATCACCCAGCCTAAGTCCAGTCTCTGAGCGTATGGTGCATCATGGGGCCCATTGATTTGACGGCGCACTTTATGTACTCTCAAAATGTCCCTTCCGAGCAGTAACAAAATGTCAGCGCTGTCGTCTAAAGGTGGTATTTTGTGAACCAAACCTTTGAGGTGGCTGTGAGCGCTAGCGGCTGATGGTGTAGGAATTTCTTCTCTTTTGTTGGGTATCATATTGCACTCGATTAGCATGGGCAAGGGCATAGCAAGAGAGCCATCAATGGACTCAATCATGTAACCAAGGGCTCTTCTGCCAGAAGTTAAACCTATACCACTGCATGTCTGAAGGGTATATGGTGCTGCATTACCATTGACCTCAAACATGTCAAAAAACTCAGAGCGCGCAAGCGATACATTACTCTGGTCATCCAGCATAGCATACATTCTCCGGCGCTTGCTGGGGTCATTGGCAGGGTAGACATCAACCAGACATATCTTCGAACATGATTTCCCAGAGAAACCTTCTCCACAGATTTCAGTACAGCTTGAAACAACGGCTGCCTCTTGTCCTTCTTGTTTCTCCCCGCCATGCTCTGCTGGTCTGACGGCTTTGGAGAAGGTAGGATCGACTTCGTGCATTGCTGTTGGATGCTTATCACTGCTACATTCTGAACATTTGACTTCAGCTTTACAATCACGAGCCATGTGCCTGTTAGATGCACAGCACCTGAAACAAATTCTGTGTTGTTTTAATATCGTTTTTCTTTCCTGTAGGGATTTTTCTCTGAAACCTCTGCACTGTTGTAAGGCATGTGGCTTGTTATGCACTGGACAATATTTATCTGGTCCTTCAGTGGGTGGGTCTGAAACATAAGTCTTGTGCACTGAAACTGCTCTGCGATTATTGTTAAAGGTCTCCCCATACCTGTCTTTTTTAACTGTGAGGGTGGATGGAGACTGTAGATTAAAACTTGGGTCGTTACGTGCCCTTGCCTGAGTCTGTATGAAGTGTAGAAAGAAGGTGAATGGAGGAAAGGTCACATGGTGCTGCTGCTTATAGGAAGAGCCTTCCATCATCCACTTGTCCTGTAGGCCTAACGGCAGCTTTTCCACAATAGGAGCAATGCCCCTTGCTGTATCAAGATAGGAGAGTCCTTGCAAGTATCCCTCTTGTTTTGCAGATTCTATCTCCTGCAACAAATCACTGAGTTCTCTTAATTTTTTATTTTCTCTAGGCCCTATCTTGGAAAACTGATCAAGCTTGGCAAAAAGAGCACCCTCTATGGCCTCTGGTGACCCATAGATCTCTTCTAGCCTCTCCCAGATAAGATTTAATGCAACAACTGGTTTGTTAATGTTTACAGCTTTAATGCGTTGCGCATGTTTGGTTGACTCTGGCCCAAGTGATTTTACCAGCAGGTCAATTTCTTCGCAAGCCCTAAGTTCAAGTGACTCAATAGAATTGATGAAAGAAGATTTCCAGGACAAATAGTTTGCAGCACTATCATCAAACTTGGTGAGCTCTGATGTTAACAACTGACTCCTCACTAAGTACTTTGCAAGCTCATTTGTTTCACTGTAATTGTTCTGAGCAGGTGAGTAGTACCGAGGACGTCCAGCAGGGGGGGGCATATATACAGGAATTTCATCACCTCTGTCCTGTTTATACTGTGGCAGATCAATCTGTCTTTCAGTTGAATTGTTTTGGACTTGGGCTTTATAGAAATGGTGGGTTTTAGGTGTCATGTCAGATCTTTTAGCTTGGTGTAAAGTTTTGCTATTCTCCAGTGTAACATCCTTTGGTATAACTGTTTCGACTTCCACTTGATGCTTTTTTACATATTCTGCAGTTCGCTCATGGAAGTTTTCCATTTGTTGTGGTAGGAACAGGTTTTCGTCACTTGTGTCTAAACCAGCAGCAGCAGACTCTAAAACTGCTGCTTCAGCAGCAGCAGCTTCAGCTTCGCTTTCTTTTGCTAAAACATCAAGTCTTGCATCCAATTTGGCTTTTTCTACTTTAATTTCAACTTCTCTCTTTGCAAATTCAGCTCTTTTTTGAGCTGCTTCGGCTTTTGCTCGTGCAGCTGCAGCTGCTAAGATGACACTTGAGGCAGACGATCGGCTGGATCTCTTTGAGGCTGTTGATCTGACTTCATACCTTTCATTCTCCATCTTGTGCTGAAGTGACGTGCTGACGGCGTAGGGGTGAGGAGCTCGACACAGGGTCTCCCTTTTCACTGTACTGGCCTCGTAGAACCCAGCTCTACTATCCAGGAGTTAAACACCTCCACAAAATAAGTCACCGACGCCAGGATGGGTTTAGACTGTTCTTTATATGGCAGGTGTGAAACTGTAATGAAACAATACAGTATACATGAGTGGAAATGAAAAGAAATACAGCAACCATGCTTTAAATGCTAATACTAACCACATGTATCAACATGAATAACAGAACTAGCTTAAAAACGGCTCCCTTTTATCTTCAAAAACGTGCTTTTAAACAATCTTATTAATCAGAAACCTTAACTTAATCCTTAATCACAAATGTATTGCATACTCACAGGGAATGCCTTTCATGAACTCAAAAATCACAGAAACACGTCAGCCATCAGAGAATTCTCTGCTCTTCTGCTTGCTACTGCACATAACTGATAGAAGTGATGTCATATCCTGTTCAAACCGCAAAGTCAGCCTTCAAAATAAAGCGCATGACACATGTCAGAACACATCACATCCTCGACATAAAGTGCTGCTGAAACCTTTTAATAAACCATTTATCTAAGTAAGGTGTGTTGCAGGAATTACTTTTAACACCTAAAACATGCAGGATAGTCATAGCTGAGGATCAGGGTTTGGAGCTTCAGATGTAGAACTTATGAGATTTTCTCTCATCTATTTTTACATAAATCTTCAGTAATTATAAAACCAAACTTTTTCCTCATTGCAAGTAAAAGGTCTTTTTCTCATGTATCAGTTAATGATCAGAGTTTACATCAACATCTACTTAAAGGGATAGTTCGGTATTTTTGACATGAATCTGTATGGCATCCCCATCACCAGTGGCATGCAATCACACTGACTTACCCCTGGCAGCGTCCTGTGAGCAGAGTTATCGTCCAGTTTTGGTCAAGCCGAAAGTAGTCCGGCAGGTTTTTAGGACCAGCGAAATAAAACTTTTCTCTTCCCAAAACATTATGTGTTCAAAAGAGTGATATTTTTGCATCCCAAAAACATTGTAGTGGAAAAAGTCACACGTCGTTATCAATTGGTCCTATTTTCTCTCTGTTCGTATCAGTGCGCGCCGTCATTCAGACAGCGAGCTCAACAACAGCCAGATGCATGTCTCGGTCCGCCCAGCTAGGAGCTAGGCGGAGGGAGACATGCATCTGGCTGTTGTTGAGCTCGCTGTCTGAATGACGGCGCGCAGTGATACGAACAGAGAGAAAATAGGACCAATTGATAACGACGTGTGACTTTTTCCACTACAACGTTTTTGGGATGCAAAAATATCACTCTTTTGAACACATAATGTTTTGGGAAGAGAAAAGTTTTATTTCGCTGGTCCTAAAAACCTGCCGGACTACTTTCGGCTTGACCAAAACTGGACGATAACTCTGCTCACAGGACGCTGCCAGGGGTAAGTCAGTGTGATTGCATGCCACTGGTGATGGGGATGCCATACAGATTCATGTCAAAAATACCGAACTATCCCTTTAACACGTAGACAAATACAAAAGGAAGCAGTTTATACAATAATTTGTGCAAATGCATGATGAAATATGCAAATAACATTAAATGTTAAATACCAACATAATGTTTAGTGTAACAAAAAAATACAGAGAATAAATTGCAATGTAAACAGTAAAAGTTAAGAGATGCTTTAATTTAGTAATTAAGTATGGCTAATGAAAACTATACAACATTTAAGAACTTGAAAACATTTGATTTCTAAAAACAAAAATGTGTATGAGTTTTAGAGGTAGGAAGAGCACCCAAAATGTACTTAAGTAGAAGTAAAACCTCATCGTATTTTTACTCCAGTAAAATTAAAAAGTTGCCTCTAAAGAAATTACTCAATTAAAAGTAAAAAACTATTTGGTAAAAAAATACTCTGGAAATCTGTTCTACTGACAATTCATGATTGTGACAACAGATTTAATAATTATTGAGTTATAAAACTTCCAAAATCAATAGCTGTATTGTGTAAGAATAGCTTAAATTACAATACTGTATAATGTATTATCACTCAACCTCATTTAACCAATAAGACTTGGGAAAGTGTTTCTTTCAATGGTGCATATTTGTTTTAAAAAAGCTTTTTTTTCATTAAAATAAGTTACTCACAATGAATGGAGTAGACAGAAATTTTACTCAAGTAAAAGCAGTGATACTTAACCATAATTTTATTCATGTAAAACTATAAAGTATACTAAAACTACTCCTAAAAGTACACTTTTTTTTCTCTCAAAAAGTTGCTCAGTTAAATATAACTGAGTAAATGTAAACAGTTACTACCGACCTCAGATCAGTTTTATTGTAAAATGAAGGATGAATTATTCTCCTTAGAGCAGGGACTAAACGGAAAATGAAACCCATATTAATTGTAACAAGGCTGAATCAGTCGACTAATCTGTCGTTGATAAAAAATAAACTTTCTAAACAGACACAAGATAAGAGATACAGTTATTTATTGTCTAAAATTCATTAAGATATTAGTTTCAAGTATTAATGAAATGGTATCTTTAAATTAGTAATTTTAGTTTTGAGCTTTGAAGAACCTCAAGTAAACTAATGTTCATATGGACATAAGTAATCAGGATAAAATTGTCCATTCTGACTGATAATGTGTCTCTTAAACATCCTATTGGGAATATATTGACATGGCATCTATAGCTTTTCAAGGCTGACTAGATCACACTGACGTAGGGTGCACATACACTCACCAACCACTTTATTAGGTACCTCATGCTAGTAACGGGTTGGACCCCCTTTTGCCTTCAGAACTGCCTAAATTCTTGGTGGCATAGATTCAACAAGGTGCTGGAAGCATTCCTCAGGGAGTTTGGTCCATATTGACATGATGGCATCACACAGTTGCCGCAGATTTGTCGGCTGCACATCCATGATGCGAATCTCCCGTTCCACCACATCCCAAAGATGCTCTATTGGATTGAGATCTGGTGACTGTGGAGGCCATTTGAGTACAGTGAACTCATTGTCATGTTCAAGAAACCAGTCTGAGATGATTCCAGCTTTATGACATGGCGCATTATCCTGCTGAAAGTAGCCATCAGAAGTTGGGTACATTGTGGTCATAAAGGGATGGACATGGTCAGCAACAATACTCAGGTAGGCTGTGGCGTTGCAACGATGCTCAATTGGTACCAAGGGGCCCAAAGAGGGCCAAGAAAAGATTCCCCACACCATGACACCACCACCACCAGCCTGAACCGTTGATACAAGGCAGGATGGATCCATGCTTTCATGTTGTAGATGCCAAATTCTGACCCCACCATCCGAATGTCGCAGCAGAAATCGAGACTCATCAGACCAAGCAACGTTTTTCCAATCTTCTATTGTCCAATTTCGATGAGCTTGTGCAAATTGTAGCCTCAGTTTCCTGTTCTTAGCTGAAAGGAGTGGCACCCGGTGTGGTCTTTTGCTGCTGTAGCCCATCTGCCTCAAAGTTCAACGTACTGTGTGTTCAGAGATGCTCTTCTGCCCACCTTGGTTGTAACGGGTGGTTATTTGAGTCACTGTTGCCCTTCTATCAGCTCCAACCAGTCTGGCCATTCTCCTCTGACCTCTGGCATCAACAAGGCATTTCCGCCCACAGAACTGCCGCTCACTGGATGTTTTTTCTTTTTCGGACCATTCTCTGTAAACCCTAGAGATGGTTGTGCGTGAAAATCCCAGTAGATCAGCAGTTTCTGAAATACTCAGACCAGCCCTTCTGGCACCAACAATCATGCCACGTTCAAAGTCACTAAAATCACCTTTCTTCCCCATACTGATGCTCGGTTTGAACTGCAGGAGATTGTCTTAACCATGTCTACATGCCTAAATGTACTGAGTTGCCGCCATGTGATTGGCTGCTTAGAAATTAAATGTTAACGAGCAGTTGGACAGGTGTACCTAATAAAGTGGCCGGTGAGTGTACGCACTCAGGTCAACTTGCCTCTTTTATTTATACCTTGATCTTACTAAGTATTTACATGAATATTGATCAGATTGTCAATCAGCATAAACCGCACCGCTCAGGCAAATCCATTCCTCCATTTTCTCCTGCATCTGTCAGGGTCACTGTGGGGCAGGTGCCTATCTCCGGCAGTCTATGGGCGAGAGGAAGGGTACACCCTGGACAGATCGCCGGTCTGTCACAGGGCAACACAAAGACAGACAACCATGCACACACACTCACACCTAAGGACAATTTAGAGAAGCCAATTAATCTAACATTCATGTTTTTGGACTGTGGGAGGAAGCCAGAGTAACCAGAGAGATCCCACGCATGCACAGGGAGAACATGCAAACTCCATGCAGAAAGACCACAGGTCAGAAATAGAAACCAGAAGCTTCTTACTGCAACGCAGTGCTACCCACTGCATTACTGTGCAGCCCCCTCGCCATATCCGATGAAAATACTCTGACTGGAATGTTTACATGAGATGTTTTGAGTCAGATCGGCCATTTATCACAATGACTTATCTCCATGTAAACCTAGCAATTAATATATTAAGTTTTGATGCTAATTCCACACAATTTGATAAAATAAATGCTTGTATGTTATGGTTCCTTGGGTATGTGAGTCTTCCAGGTAAAAATTCGTAGGATGAAAATATTGTTTTATCATTTAACACAAGCCTGATTGTTTTGGGTACCTCACCAATGCCCAGTTGTACTGAAATGGATGCTAATCTGCAAAAGGAATCACTGACTATCAGGTGATGAGACATTTATTGGCTTAAATTAGAGCATTAAAGTTTCTAAAAAGCCAGTCCCTGTCCTCATCCAGATCTGTCTCTACATAATGCTACATTCTGTGGATGTAAGATGAGCAACACAATTGGCCATAAAAAAACTCCAGATCAGTTGTAATAAATAAACACAGCTTCAATGTTTAAAATTGCCTCAAAGTGAGCAAAATAAATGTTCCTTAATATGTTGACAGAGCCAATCTAATGATATATATCAAAAAATAGAAAAAAATCACATTATAATAATTTTGGTTGTAATGTTTGTGATAGATATGGAGGCTGTGTGATCACACAAACCCCATGAACTGAAGTCTGAAGGTTAACTTGCTAAATCCGATATTTACATAGAGCTGAAGGCAATTTGGAAGATTCGTCCATTAGAGGCACTCTGAAAGAATGAGGGCAAAGTTTTAGGGATGAGGTGAATGCTTTTTGTCCTTCACTAGGTGACAGAGAAAAGAGAAGACTGACTGACATTCTTTATACAGTATATGCTGGTATTTTTCACATTTCAAAATAAGTGACAGTACCACAGAATTTTATGTGAGTTTCATAGAGGGCCTGCATGTTCCAGGTCAGTGACTGTGCTTTGAAAACCCTCCATGGGTATTCTGAATTGGGAAAGGTGCCACCAAACCGAGGGTGAGAAACTCATTAACATTTCATGTACACAAAAGAGAAGCATCAAAATCCCCACAAGAAGCTGGAAAACGAAAGTCAAATTGTTGTTGGCAAGACGAAGAGCATTACTGTATATAGGTCCCCAACAGTAAAGCATTTCCCTTTAATTGTTCTAATTTGCAAAGACTTGAGTTTTGGAGCAGTTTTCTGAATTTCTTTCAAAAGATACTTGTCTGCTTCATTTTCAAACACCGAGTCAGTCGTCTTGTTATCTGTGAGCCCACCAGTGACTTTGCCTCATGCAGTATTAAATTTGCCGCGGTGCTGAGCTTTCACTATACACTCTATCGTCTCAGCAAGAGCTACTGCCAAACATCTGTTCACAGCTGCAGAGGTGGCTGCTGGACACAGGGGGCTAAGCACGTCTTTATATCAGAGGCAACCTTATTCCTTCCATGGAAAAAGGCGTGTGTTGGAAGAGGGATAATGCAGTCTTAGCCTAATTAAAGCATGTTAACCAATTACTTTTAGCATTTCCTTTAAGATTTAAAACAACAGATAATTCAGCATCTGCTTACTAACAAAAATTTATAAAAACAAGATTTTTTAATTAGCTGGAATACTTGCCTTATCCTATTTTTTGTATCTTCACACTCAGCAAACACGGGGTGATGGTTTACCATTAATGCAGAGATCCCACACACCTGCACACACAGTGTTTGCCTCTTTCCCCTCAGGCAGGAGGCTAAGCAGCATCAGGAGTAGAACCAGCAGAGATGCAGTGTCTATCCAGGCTGTTTAATTCTGATGGACCTCTGCTCTGCTCGAGTAGACATTCAGACTTAGTGAAAATGATCTGCTATTAGTTTTAGTTTTCTAGCTGCTGCCTTTTTCGAAGATGCAGCTACTTTATGTCTTGCTTTATGCAGTGCAATTCATGTAATCGTGATGCAATGATGTTATCTTTGAGGTATATTTACGCATTTTATTTCCTTTCTTTTCATTATATCCGATGTATCTTGTTTACGGTTTTCTTGTTAACTACCCCATTAACAAATTTTGCTCTGCGCCATCAGTGATTGTTGAATCCATGAAAATGAGTTTAAATTATAAGCAAATATTGTAAGTAATGTTTATGATTACAAAGTAGTTAATGTTAAAATTACTTTTTTGTTTTGTTTTATTTAATTCTTTTTCCCTTTTTACAGGAGACGAAGGAGTAGTGTTTAGCCATTCTGTTGAGACTTCACACGTACGGGCAGAACCATTTCAGGATCTAAAGTAAGTGTTTTATATAACTGTCTGCCATTTTAGTAATTTTTAATGATGTGGTACAGTCATATCTGTAATTGATAGTAGAAAAATAGAACTCAATTCTTATAAATTAATGTATTTTAAACACACAACACCCTATTTAACCTAATGAAACTCAAAATTTAGTTTTAATTTAATTTAGCATTAATCTGTAAAAATAATAATTTTTGTCGCGATCACCGAGTCTGGGAAAGGCCATGTTTGCTCAAATACAGTAACACCTCACTCCTGACATCTTCCGTCAGTGACGTCACGATGCGGTAAGCCTAGCGCCATTCTCCCCGTTTTACCAGCAAAATCAATGGGAACTACTAGACACATCTGCAAGCAACAACAATTACTGACGATTTTCAGAGGACTTCACCATTGAATTTTGCGAGAGCTATAGTTTAACTGACAATGCACACGTGCATGGCAGCTGGATGTTGTAATATATCGGGTAAAAGTGAAAAAAAAAGAAAAAAGAGTTATTTCACCTTTCCGGTTCATCGTTGGATTGCCAACCTGAAGAGGGAGGATTTGCCATTGAACTTCTGGCCAGAGAAAAACATGTCATAAACCCATTACTGTCTGATTCCCATAGTGCACTGGTCATCACCATCATGGATAATAGCGCATTGTGACAAACACCAGATACAGCACTGAGACTTGCTCAACAGCCGATCCCGCAGCGTGACATCACAAACCAGTAGGTGGCAGAAGTGTTCTTTGACAAACATGGATGTAGAGCACATTCAGATGAAATTACTCCTAATTAAAAACACTTATCATTTACTGAAAAGCATGTGATAATTTCATACTCAAGGTACTTTCAGAAGTTTGTATTCTGAATGTGAGCGGACATTCCCTTTAAAACTGAAATTTAATTTTTTTTGCATTTTATGGTTTAAAAGGTTTGTCTTCCTATCTTTAGGACTGAAGTTTGTGATGTGGTCTTTAGGTAAAAGTTGCTGTGTATCCTTCTTAACCCGTTAGCTTCTATATCAGATTGTGCTTTCATGTACTTCTCACATCAGACAGACAATGGAAATACACAGTGTCAACAACGATTTTCTTGGAGGGATACGCTCCCTGAAATTCCCTTGGGAGTTCTGATCATGCAGAACTCCCAAAATGGGTGGATGAACAAGAAACATGGCTTTTTAAGATTCCACCTAAAATATTAACTTATTACACTGATTAAACAATGAACATTAGGGATTTTAGTTTCATTGTCAGTAGTGCAATACCTCTAATACTACCAAATTTGATTATTTTTAGGTCATTATGCACTTGAGCCTCATGTTGCATGTTTGTCTCAATGACATCTTGGACACAACCTCTTATGGCTCTCCTTTTTTACTGTCGTCGCTTGAGGTGCAGTGCATGGATGTTGTTGTGTTTGTGTCTCTACAAATCACATCACATAACTTTTATGGACTGATGGGCTGCCTTGTTATTTTCATTCCTGTCCACATTTAGAAATCTCTCAAAACAACCTGTGTAGCATTAAAGCCAACAGAGTAGAAAAAAGGGTCCTGTCTTTCATGTGACCAAACCATTACTCACCAGGCCAACAACAGCACTAATTATGCTTAATTGGTAGAGGAGTCAAGTAAATGTGAATCTGCAGAAAATAAAATATCAAAACGGATTTAAAACTTATCCACCATGAGATTTAAATATAAAAAAAAAATGTTATATTTTAAGAAAGAAATATCTTTAACGTACAGAACTGAAGAGTTGCTGATTTCGTTTTTGAGATAATTTTGTTATCTGAATAGATAAAACAGTGCTAAAGAAGAGCCAAAATGTCTTAAGAACAAAAAAAAAAAAAAAACTGATCTAAGGTCTGGTTACCTAAGCAAGTGTGTGGTCGCCATGACTCAAACGAATGAGAAATTGTACAGCTGTTGACAAAGCTGTTTGGAGAAATGGAGGTGTTTTATGTTTTTTAAACTCACATGAACAACTTTATAAATACAACTGGGTGATATTGTTTTGCTTGATTTAATACTCCCTACATGTTTTTAAGGTACAGTTTTTGATAGAAATGTTGAATCCTGAAATACAAACATACTCTTCTCACTACAGTTTTTTTTTTAACTTTATTTCTCAATTTCAAATATGAAAATAAATGTAATTACCATTTTTAATTCAAATAGGAAAGACAAAAGTCAAAGTAATCTACACGTAGAAACATTTTGCATACTATGTTGAAAATTAAGAATTTTGGTGATGACTGGGCCAGGGTTTTCGCTTTGTGGCATTTATCACTTCAAACATTTCCATGAATGAGGTCATTCAGGCCACATGTAAAATCTTGCCAAAGCTGCCTGTAGAGGATTTTCTCAACTTGCACAAAAGCCTCCCTGAATTCATGATTTGCCTTATCTAGCTTTAGAGCATATTCTGTTAATGTGGTCTTGCACACAGGAGGAAACCATTAAAGATTACAGAACAAATATAAAGAGATCAAGATAGAAAAAAAAGAGAGAAGCTTAACATGCATTAAAGTATTGTTAAAACCAATATACTTTAAAATTTCTAAGGTAGATAGTGGGAAAGAAAGACTGGAGAGTGGAGACAGAAAGGAGTGACACTGAAATTTGACACTCAACAAGACTAATAGAGGTGGATGCAGGACTGCTAGAAGTGATAAGGACTAACAAGGAAAGGAAGTGAGAGAGTAGAAGACACTGACAGAAAGAGAGAGAGTTATACTGCTGTGAATAGAAGTTCAAGTTTCTCTTTCAGAGAAACTAGCAACCAGACAGAGATCCAACAGGATCGCACAAGGAATTGTTGCTTTGGTTATAAAATAACTAATTGTTTAGTTATAAAACAACTAAAGCAACCTTTTTAGTAAAAGAGTATGGATATTAAAATGTGGTGCCAACCATGAACTACAGTTTTTCTTAGCATCAGTCTACGGCTGTTTCTGAATTCACAAGAACGCCAGTACGGACTTGTGTCCTTGCCGAGTATGTTCTTAAGAAGAACACAGGAAAGTATGGACTTGGGGAGAACAGGAGCATGCAGCAGAAATATGGGTCAATTGGAACAGATGCGTACTCGTGACATCACCACATGCCCAGCTCGTCTACAGCTGCATTTCACCTCTAGTTATTAATAGTCTCTAGATAATAATAAATTCTGACTTTTTTTCATTTAGTGGGGTAATAATAATTAGCACAGTCAGATAAGCACAAATCAAATGAACATTTTGCAAAAATAAAACAAAAAAAATCGCCATCAGAGCGAGCGGTACTTCAGAGACGGCTATGCCGAGAGAGGACTGCTGCAGACGTCCTGAAGTTAGCCCTGGCTGCTGTTAGTCTCAGAGGTCAGCTGATTGCTGCTGTCCTCTTAAGTTCAGAATTTTAATTTTTTTTAAATTATGCATTAAATCGGTAAATGGACCTTATAGTGACGATTTAAAGTATAATATTTTCACCTCAAATTATCTCAAAACATATTTTTATTGAACAATAGCAACAGAAAAGAGAACTTTTAACTTTCAATGGAGCGCTCCATTGAAAGCTGCTGCTGTCGCAGTGCATGCTGGGAAAGCTGTCAATCTCAAGAAAGGACAAGTCTGCACTGTTGCATACTGGGTAAATAGGGAGGGGCGAGAACAACATCCAGGGACTTTGTCTGTTCTCGGTCTGCTGTTCTTGTGAATTGGAACAGTGCTAGGGCTGAGGTTGATGACGTTTCACGAGTATACGAGCACAAGAGAACGCACAAGTACACATATTGAGAAATGGCCTGAGACTGATGCTAAGAGAAAACTGGAAATTGAGGAAACCAAAAAATGCATATAAAGAACATACAAATAAATAAAATATTCTAGTTAGAAATATTCAGTCATTACATAGTGGAATGAACTGAAAACAAAAGAACCTAAAACCAATCAATTAAAAAACTAAACCTGCAGGTCCCTTACAGGCATACACTGTGCGATTTTCGGGGTGATTTTCCATTCAGGCGAGAATCTTTCAATCAGGCCGACTTTTAGCCTGATCTTGCATCGTGAGTCACGTAGTGTACAGGGGGTAACGAGTAGCGGCTTCTCACGACCACCTCCTGATTCCGGAATCGTGAGGTCACTGAGCGATTCACCTACAACGGAGGGGAGAAAATAAAACATCTTTGATGTAAACACAGAAGCATGGCGGGGATGCAGTGGGTGAAATGGAATTCTGTCTGTAAAATTGACAGACTTTAGTAGCCACTTTTTCTCAGCCATGTCTTTTCTTTTTAGGGCTTTCAGCTCAAAAATGCACAAATTGCCAAGGCAGCGAGTTTCACTATAGTGAGCTTAATATTCCCCTTCTACTCGTTTGGCTTCTGGATAGACGAGTCAGAGCAGCTCCATCTCACTGCGGAGCTGAGTCCGACGTGATTTTTAGTCGTGCAGTGTGAACAGGTAGATTTCATCAGAGCGTGGGGTCGAACATAAATCGTGAGTTGTAAGCTCACGCTGTACGACTAAACCCTGCGGTTAGTCGTACAGTGTGAGCAGTAGCTGCGTACAACGACTGAAAAAAATTGCAGTGTACGCCTGGCTTTAGGATTTTAAGATTATAATTTCTTCAAGTCTCCTTAACAACACTGAATGTGAGCCTCCGACTGAAGGCCATAGTTGCAGTGTTAAGGTATCACCTAGCAAATACGATGCACTGCCCTGAGATTGATTTACATAAAAATATAAAAATGCAACAATCTATGTGGACAGTGAAGACCACTGTCCACATTTTACCATTCTTTCTGGCGCCTTTGGATGTCGTCTACTAAACTGAGCTTTATTTTTAGAGTTTTGTCCAAAGCATTTGAAACTGAGCATTGTAAGGAAGTGGCGGCCTAGTGGTTAGGGCATAGGGCTTTAAATCCTGAGATTGGGAGTTTGATCCCCTACTCCCCCAGACTGCCACTCTGGGTCCCAGAGCAAGACCCTTAACCCCACACTGCTCCCCGGGCGCCGC